GAGAGAGAGAGAGAGAGAGAGAGAGAGAGAGAGAGAGAGAGCATGTCTGTGTGAAAGTATGTCTGTATAAATAGATATATTGTGTATGTTGTGTGTGTATGTGTGTGTGCATCCGTGTGTGTGTGTGTGTGTGTGCGCGCGTGTGTGTTTTTGTGTGTAGTGTGTGTGTATGTATGTGTGTGTGTGTGTGTGTGTATTGTGTGTGTGGATGTAGGGGTATGTAAGGACAGGGTGAAGGGTGTCCTTCCTTGCGTAACTTCATGTTTAGTGACGTCACCTGTTTTAGCTAGACACTGGTGGAAGCGGCTACGTTACGCACATTCTTCTGTCCCCTCGGTTTTAAGCACACAAAAAATCTGAAATTATGCAAACTGAGCCCGAATATGTGAAATTATGCGATTCTGTTAATTTTAAACAAAGAATGGTACAGGAAAATAATCAGAAATTATGCAAAAATTGATCAAATTTTGCTGAATTATACGGGTTGCATAAAACCACAGGGACGGATTCATCTTCACCTCAACTCAAACTCCGAACGGGCGTCCGTGGTGTAGCGATCTGGTGTTTTACTGTCGCAAGTAGGAGACATGAGTTCCTGGAGGAGGCATACAAATAGATAGATAGGCCTACAAGTTTTATTGAGTTGGCCCATCTTTGACTTTCTACTGAAATTCAGCCTGGGTTTGCCCTTACAGATAGGGTCGGATTCCTGCCTCATAAATATTCGTTTAGTTTTAGTAAGCGCTGAAGATTAGCGGTGTTACAAGAGAGTTACAAACACAAAAAAGGAGAGATGAGGACGATAGATGTTTGACAGAAGAAAGAAGGAGCAAACCACACCGGAGCACCCTCCAACCTCCCACCCTATTTATTCTGAAGTATTGTGGCGAAGAGGGCGTGAAAGCTTCTACGTTAAAAGACAAATAATCAAATTAAAATAACTAAATAGTAAACCCTGCCCTCGGATCAGAAGTGCGACCTATCCTCTCTCAAGAAGTAGCAAGGGACATAAGAAGGTTTTTACCAATAGCTGCCGGTGACATTTCTAGTTACGTCCCTTGACTGAATGTGCTGGATCCGATCACACTCTGTTTCGGTTGTTTACAAAAAGTAAGTGTATGGATTTAACGCCCAAATCAACACTGTTAGGTTGTTTACCAAGCGGGACCTCCAAATTTAACGTCCGTCTTCGATAGGATTGAGCCGAATGGGTACAGAGTTTTGAAAACTTCACAAAATGATCCGAAATCAAGATTGTGCAGTCTGTAGTGAAGCATGGTAGTGCAGGGCTCCATTTTTGTCAAATATACGAAAGACAATACAATAGAGAGAGTGTTTTCCTGGTAGTAGGTCTTTATGACAGAAGTGGTTCATAGCAGACGTGGTGTGACAGACATAATGTGACAGACGTGATTTGCAGCACACGTATAGCAGACATGATAATAATAATAATAGATAGCATTTGTATAGCGCAAATCCCCGCTCAACAGCAAGCTCTATGCGCTTCACAATCTATACTATTACCCCAGCAGACCTGAGGGCATTCTGAAACAAACTCAACTTCGTGGGAAGCCTACAGTGCATGCTGCCATTTATAGGCGCTAAAACACTAACATACTGACAAGATCTTTTGCTGTCTATGGCCGGGTACCCATTTCCACTTGTAAAGTGTCTTTCCTAAGGACACAACGTCGGAACCGCGGCTCGAACCCCCGACCCCGCAACCTCACGATTACAAGTCCGGTAGCCTATCCACTAGGCCACCGATGCCACATGATGAGACAGATATGATTTGAACCAAACGTGATAGTGATACTAAGTACCATAGACGTGATTTGTAGCAGACGTGAAGAAGGCGTGATATGACAGGTGTGATTTGAGGTTTTCGTTTTAGCAAGAGTTTTACGGCACTTGCAGCACAATGAGGTCACATAAGTTCGGAAGATTAGAGGTGTTATAAGAGAGAAACTTGTAAAGTGTCTTTCCTAAGGACACAACGTCGGAACATAAAAAAGAAGAAGGGGAGATAAGGACGATAGAAGTTTGATAGGAAAGAAGGAGTAAACCACACCAGAGCACCCCCCAACCACCCACGTGATTTGTAGTTGTGTTTCACAACATGGTGAAAGTGAAAGTAGGCATTCGTCAATAAGGAAATCGAAGAAACAGACACTTTCTGCCCTCTGGGCTATTTTCATAGATTTTTTTATTTTGGTTACAAACCTTTTATGCTCATTAAAAAACAAAACAAAACACACACACAGACACACATCCGTGTGCATTTTACTGACAAACGTTGGGCAAAGGCATAAATTATACTGCAAATTTGCAGTTCTCAATGACACTCTAGCTATCCAAGTCAACACACTTTGATGGCCATTTTCTCACTCATTTTACCTCATCTTTTTCAGATAAATTGGTATTTCTTTCATCAAAAAGCAAGGCTCATAAGCATGCTTTGAGATAATGCCAGCAGCATTAAAATATATGCAAAACAATCCCCACACACACACAATGAATAATTTATTCTTTAATTTTTACAAATGTCAAGTACAGCATCCAGTGACTTCTGCGCTAATGAATAATGTCACTCCCCTCCCCTCCCCATGAAGTCATTATATCTGTCACGTCGTTTCCCCCCCTCCCCCCTCCCTGATGTCCTGACATTATCTGTCAT